GGGGTCAAGGGGGCCCTGAGCCCCCATTCGAATTCTGGTCCCCCCTTGAAATTATAATTTTGACCAGCTGAATCATAGTTGTAAACTATACCAAATGGCACCGTTCGCCCTCTTAAATACCAAAAATTTTCGTGGCCCTTCAACAGGCCCCTAACCCGTTGCCAAGTGGGGAGGGGGGGAGCCTTTGCATCTGCGGACTCCCCCTTCAAATAATCCTGGATCCGCCTCTGCTCATCTTGCCTTATAATTGATGGGCAAGCACTGGCAATTTCACTGGGAAGGTCTGACAATGCAGTGACCTTTGGTAGTTTGGCTGACACATATGTAAGAGCAGTTCTGAAGGCAGGTTCTAACTATCAGCAGATTGACTAGTGTTTGACAGATACAGGGAAGAATCAATAAAATGTGCTACTCGGACATGATTCACAAAGTCAGTGCTACCCATCAGACAAGAAATCTGATATATCACATTCCCTGACCCTGAGAACATAGGTGTAGACACTTCATTTGTCATGTTTGCTTGCCTAGTTACAGAGATACAGAAGTAAAACGGTTTTTCAGTAATGGCGATCCTAATTTGCATATTTTGGAAAATTGCGTAAATCTAATTCTAACAGAAACATCTTAATAATGTTCCTCATCCCTGAAAATATAGGTAAAGACACTTCATTTGTAATATTTGCCTGTCTAGTTCCAGAGATATTGCAGAAAATAGGAAATCTGGCGGCCATTTTGTTTTTTTGCAAATTAGACCGTTAAAAACGCAAAATTTCGCTTGGGAACCGGGTAAATCGGATTCAGCATCCCAAAATTATGCTATTAAGCCTGGTTCCCAACTTTTACCCCAAAATGCCCCTTGCCTCTTATGCAGAGCCTTTTTTCAAAAATCTCACTAGACTATCTAGGTAACATGCTACATCTAGGTCTCTCACAGACTCATCATAATTCACGGAATTATCATGTGAATGCGCAGCTTTACCAAATAAACAAAATTCATTCTAATGTTAAATCATAACACCATGCAACTTGCTACCAACAAAAGACAATAATTGCAATTTGGTGATCTGTAATGCATGGGTAAGTGGCCTGCTGCATGCAGCACAACACATTCTTGCTGGTTTAGGGCAAAAGCTTTCAACCCTAATAACAAATTTGTAATTGAATTTGAATCCAGCTATGGACTTGTAGCATTGCACATTACTCCTGTCGAAGTTGAAGTTATTCTAGCTTCAAAGCTAGTTAGTGGCAAACAACTCGTGTTAAAATTAAAACAGTTAAATCTACTTTTTGCTTTTTGTGAGATAAATCTTAATAATATAATATGAAATTCATACACTAAGCCCAAATTTATCTGGACTGACCAGTTTGACTGGTGTTAAAAAGAAATGACTTGCATAAATTATAAAGATGTCAGATTTCAACTCCTCACTGCCTGTATCAAAACAAAACTGAACATCATTGCAGCAAAGTCCACCAAAATGTTTGTAACTATTGCCATAGTTGTGTTGTAATTGTCAATGATGTCTTTATTTATACCATTGAGTAGCAGTGCTGAAGTCAGAAGACTGCCTTGGACACCCGTCTTGTGCTGGAAAAGAGAACATGAAAGCACCAAAAACATTTTTCATACAACGATGCAAAAAGTAAGTTACAAGTTCTGTGACCAAAGTGTTTATTTTGATACATCCAGTTTCAATCAAATGAAATATCACATGACAGTTTAGTTTCCTGACAAAATCTATGGGATATTGGCTGAAAGTCTTGTACCATCTGTATGTGATTTTTCCAGGATGAAATTTGAGTTTCATTCTTAATCTGATTATCATTTTTGTCTTGAAGAAGTGGTGATAAAAAATTGTGCATTTTGATAAATGATGAAGTTTTACTTTAAGTCTATTCTTTACATCTGAGAGCAATTTAACTATACTTCAAGTCCTACCTAATCTAGACTTAAACAATTTCAAATGACAAACTTGGCAGCTGTTATTTTTGATAAAATTTGCATTTGTCTTTTGATAACTTTTTCTTAATAAATACAATCAAATGCACTGTGGGTCAGTTTTAAATTGACAGTGTTCTGTTTACTACATTAACTGCTTTTTTTAAAAAAAATATAAAAATATGTTTTCAGTCACTCACAAATACCACATTTTGACTTCATCATAAGTCAATCAATTTTAAGTTGTCTTCATTAGGTATTATGAACAGTTCATATTTAAAACAAAAGCAATCTGTAAGAGTCCACTTACCAGTTTGTGAGTAACTTGATACCACACCACTGTGGCTTCTACCAGTATGAAAGGGAGGATGACTGACTGAAATTATGAACACAGTTGGCTGTGAGACACAGCGATTCAAAACATCTCAGTAAGATCAAAATCCATAACAACTGAGATAAAATTATAATTGTCCTTGTAAAAAATGTCTACTAATAACAACACAAATTTTATATTTCAAATGCTATTCTATTTTAAATTTCTATTGATTTTCTGGAGTCAAAATGTACATTTCTGTTTATTTAAGATCATATTTTCAAACCAAATCTCACCCCCTCCCCTACACTTTGTTATTTCCTGCCATCTTTCTTACAGTGACATTGTGTAAGATGTAAAAGTCATTTCAACATGATAGGTGTGATCTGGTTTTTTTATAACCCCCACTACTACAACTAACCTTCATCAGTAAACCAATGCTGTGGAGCATCAAATTGAGCACCACACCAAGGAGTAGACTCCCAACAAAACGTGCAATCCCCAGAAATTGAGCTGCATCTTTATTGCTTTTTAGTACTTGGACATCAGACGTGGTCTCAGAGCCATCATCTACATATGCATTTGAATGGAGCAGTCTTGATTCAGTAGAGTCGGCAGAATGTGATTGCTCTGAAGACTTGGTACCTATCCTCTGCCTGACACCAGGCTGTGATGTTTCAGTAGCCTTCTCTGTCAGGGGTTCTGCCGGAGTTCTGCTATTGTTTAAGTCAGGGATAATATTGTCTGAGTTGGCACTGTTATTATGGTTTGTGGATTCGGTCTGGTTGAGGGGATCATTATCAGCTGAACCAGTGGGACTTGATGGTGAACCACTGTCTCTGTGTACCTCGTGAGATTCTGTCTGTTCTTCTGGAGTTGAAACAAACGGTTATTGAAAACTGGAGTGCTGCAGTGCAAAGGTACTCCAAGTCTGATAGCAGTACTGTTAGTGAGAATGCATGGCTGTCCTGCCAAAATATGTTAGAGTACTAAATTGTTGCAGTGTGGAATGGGCTATCCGTATTTGCAAGACTGCATAATGTTCAAATAATAGTTATGTCACACCCTGTTTTTTTTTTACTACCCAATTACGGTTTCCACATACATTTGAATCAAATAAGATGTGAAATTAAACTTTGCTGAACAAGCTCAAATTTTGGTACTTTTGTAGTATACCCCCCCACCCTGTAACTTTCTGTAACTTTCNAGTTACAGGGTGGGGGGTATACTACAAAAGTACCCAAACTTTACTGATTTTCATTCTTCTTGAATGTTGATCACAAAACGTTGCTATTTTGTCATTAGAACATACTGATCATTGTAAATGAGTTTAGGCACGACTGCACCCCCCCCCCCCACCCCCGCCTCAATTTTCGGCTTTATCTGCAGCTCGGTGAATTATGTGAATACCTGGCAACGTAGGGTGTAGCTTTGAGCTCGAAAGCCCCCCCCCCCCCCCCCACACACACACACACACACACACACACACACACTACACCCTGATGAATATTACTACAGGTACTGGCATCAGCTATGAATGTTTCAGCCTACCAGTTTTTCTCTGTCCAGATACAATTTTCCGCAAACGGTCCTCTGAATTCCTCAAAATTCGACGTCTCCTTTGCTCCCGTCTCTCTTCATCCATTTTGAATTCAGAGACAATTTTACGAAAGGGTATATTTTCGTAAAAAAATATCTTTAACTTTTTTATGTGTGAATATAATATAGTAAACTGTAGATCAAAATATTTTATATAGCACATAATAATTAATAATATGAGCAGACTGTGATTCTACTAAATAGAAGACGAAGATATATTTTGCCGAAACTTTATTATAAAGTATCAATGTTCACTTTCTCCAGCTGTTTAGTGTTTTCTTGACAGAAAATGTCCCAAAAAAACGGGATATGTTTCATATTTATATACAACAGAAGCTGACGATATTAAGGTAAGAAAACTGTTGTTTGTGTATGGTTTGACTGTTAATTCCGTCAATCCATGGTTATTCTTATAATCTTATGTTACGAAAACGGCAAAGTTTGACTCAAATAGAAGTAGTAGTTCCTCCTTACGTGCACCGACTCATTAAAATTGAAGTGATAAACAATGCCCAAAGTACCTTTTAAGCCCCCAAACTGAAAGAAACACACAGGGAGTGTTGATATTAAGGCTCACCCACTTTCGCTAATTATACTGGTACTAAATCCAAATAAATGTCTTATTTCACCGCCAACACATTAACGGAGCACGTACTACTACATGTACTATGGACATTACTCGTTAGTCATAAAGTGAGTAATATTGAAAAGGGCAAAACTGCCATACATTATAGGTGTCTTTCTTTTGTGAAGTAAGGCAACATGTGTAACAGTGAAAAAGGATTTTATATCCAAAAACTTGGACTACAGGTAAACTATATAGACATTTTTTTCTTTTAATTGCTTGTACTTGTCAATATTATTAGAATAAAATAGTTTTATCATTATAGTTCTTTTTCGCAGATTTTCTGACATATTTGATAAGGAAGATTTTCATGAAAATTACTTGTGAAAAGTTTAACATCTGTCAGTTTTACATATTCACATTTAAGTTGTTGCTTGGACCCATTAGATATGTATGATGGATCCAAGATTGCTGGTTGAATAAGCAAAAGAATGGTAACAAAGGAATACAGGATTTCATTGAGTGTTTTATTCAAAAAGTATTATTGGTATAGGTTTTTGAGACTGAATTTTAGAATCAGATTGTAAAGTCAATGATATTTCTCTCTGATTTTAGTCTCGGAGGAAGAGCTTCCCAATTGATCACTTTGTAGGTACTCCTCTTATTTCAGCTAAAAATCTACTGACTTAACTCTTCTATTTCAGGCACCTAGTATGATAATAGAGCAGCAAAATGAAGGGAATAAATATTCACGTTATGCCAAGATGTTGTTTGCTGGAGGTAAGATATACCGGGTAGATCAAAAGATTACATGATCACATGATCTTTTGATTAATGTCTTCCGTGAACTTAGTAAATGGATGGAGTAGTAAAAAGATGATTTATTTACCAGACTGAGTGGAGATTAGCAACAGAATTGGTCATTTAAATTTTCATGTTCACAGTAGTCCATGCCACAGGGCAGGTTCTATTTTTTAAATTTTTTTTTCATTCAAGTTAAATGATATTTGAAAGTTTGAAATATGTTGAATTATTTGACAAGAAGTCCAGCACATTTTATGCTTGTCTTATGTATTTATCATTTCAATGGTTTGTTAACTTGTTTCTAGATTTCCATTTAACATTGTCATGACAACCTATTGGGTCCCTGCTCACATTTTATTATCACTTTTCTATTACTTATATATTTTATTAATTATTTTTTCAATTTCAGGGATTGCAGGGTGCTGCGCTAAGACCTTTGTGGCTCCACTGGACAGAATTAAAATCCTTTTACAGGCCCATAACAGACATTATAAACACTTAGGTACATGTGACACTTCTGTATAACTGCTGTCTCTTTGAATAGATGTAGAAATGTGTCAAATCCATAATAAGGATGAAAATATTCCAAGTTAATCAGCCATTTTTCAAATATTAAAATATTTAAATTAAAAACCTTTAAAAAGCAAATTGAAAGCATAAGCAACATTTGTAGATGCAAAATTTACGTGTGATGTTCTAACTTGTTATCACGTAATAGATTTTAGGACATTATTGGTTTGTGTTCTAAAAGTAGTTTTGATGCAATTTATAGTTGCTCTTTTTAATAAATCCAATTTATCTTTTCCAGGTATATTGTCCACATTAAAGCATGTTATAGACAGAGAAGGTTTCTTCAGCCTATACAAAAGCAACTTTGCCCAGATGATACGCATATTCCCATACTCAGCCATACAGTTTGGCACATTTGAGTTCTGCAAAAAGGTTTGTTTCATACTGTTACAGTATTTTTTACACAAAATTCAAACAATATTGTTCTTCCAAACTGTTTTTTGAGACACATCCTTGCACCGACACATGCCTGAACACAGGCACGCACACAATTTTTTATTAAGGCAGGTAAAGGGTGTTAGACATCTTATATTTGGGATATGATAAAGTATTTGAAATGTGTGAGATGTTTTGCAATTTGTGAATGAATACTGAAGTGTTTGAACCATACCCTGTGTGTGACAGCACATTTGTGGTACAAAATGTGTTTTATCGCTATAATTTGTTGGAAGCAGTGTTTTATCTCGTTTATTTCACTGTATTTCAGGCCTACAGGTCAAGAGTACATCAGTTGAGTTCTATTTATAATAATACTGAGCTGACTACACAGGAATATATATCATAAACGACACAAATCACTTATCTAAAAAAACATCTCTTAATTTCTCAGCATGATATATGAAGGCCGCAAGTCTTTTTATACAGTCAACATTATGTGGAAGCAGTGTTTTAAGGAGTTACAATGAGGCAGATGATGATATTTTAAGTTGTTTCTTGGACCAGTTTTTTGTGTATATTAGCGCATTATTGATGTTATACTGAGTTCATACCAAGTTGCAGTGACTGTTATATGTTGTTATCATAAAAAATTTGTCCATTTTGTCCCCAGTTGATACTTAATTCTCAGACTGTATAGACTTAAATAGTGGCTGCTGTAATTTTTATTCCTAATAAAATAGAATTAAGTTTTTTTTTTTTTTAAATCTTTTTATGTTATACCACCCTGTGATTTCTGATATTCAGAATCTACCTGGTAAGATTGACCATCCACACTTTCTTAAATTAACAGCTGGATCAATAGCAGGTAAGAAGGATTTATAGTATAGAAATGTTTATATGATTTGAATTTTGGCTTTAATATATTAATATTAAAGTAATAATTTCATTTGCCCATTATTAAAAGGACAGTATATAAGATTATTATTGTTTAGAAAGTTCTTATTTTCTTTAATGCAAGGAATATAAATACCACTTGGTTAAAAATTAGTGAAGAAAATAATTGGTGTAAAAATGTAATAATACAATGGTTTTGAGTTTGACAAATAGGATCATGGTTGCTGAGAACTAAAATTTTTAAGACACCAAAATGTGTTAATGGTTTTTTTTTTTTTTTTTTTTTGGTACCAAAATACTGTATACAGTCTCTTTCAAAACATTTTCATCTTTACTCCCATTCTAGTATACATACAGTCCTACAAAATGTTTCTGAAAATGCTNGCAAGTTCAACGTGACCCCACTAGCCTGATTGAAACACTCGCACATGTACATTGAAAACGGAGCTGCTGTAATGAAATCCCAGGCATACTTTATTAGACAAAACTTCTATGTAGCGAATGAATGAAAGCTTTTAGGGGTTGAAAGTTTTAATAAATTTTGACACTGGTCTAAGTCGTTTTCTTGAAGCCGTACACTAAAGCCGAGACATCAGCCTTCGGTGTACCCCGGAGATTTCAACGTTGTGTAAACAGTAAATTGCATCGGCACGCTGACTTTTGTTAATTATACTCGTTCAGCCCTCTGCTCACTGACTTTCTAACTGTCACTGTACCGTTCTCCCATTTTTAAATTATTATTGAACAGGTTCAACTGGAGGCCTCCATCATGCATCGGCAGCAGCCATTATGTACTGTATGACGCATGACATCAGCTTTCTTCACTACGTGGGCGCCAAGGAGGCCATAAGAATCTCGACTAATAAGTCGCGTTTTAAAGCTATCGAGTGATGTTGGGGAGGCTTACTAATACAGAATGAAATACAGATTAAAGAAATACAGATTAAAATACAAAGAAAAACGACGAAAACAGTACAGTAGCAGAATATCAGTTGTTCTCGCACAGTCGTGCTTCGACTGTCTTCATTTTGGTACGCAAGCCTCGGTGAGCATCCTGACATATAAAACAATTCCGATTCGATTTACCCTCTACCAGGGTTACAGGTTGATGCTTCATTAGAAATTCACCTATTGTCCCTGGCTAATTCATGACGCTCTGGTGCAAATAATTCATCTGGTATAGGGTACCTTCAATTCCCAGTGAATTCCCATTCCTTCTCTTTTTACTGCACCAATCATTTTACCGGCAGTTTTATCATGCATTCTTTCGCTTTGACGCTATTCACAGATTATATATCTGGCTAATTCATGCATGAAAAATGCACATAATAAGTCTGCTATAGGGATTCTTCAATCCCCAGATAATTCTAATTCCTACTTTCTTTACGAATTCTCACGCCAATTATTTTACCGACCGTTTAATTATATATCTTTCTCTTTGAAGCTTAAAGGGAGGAAATCACGACAGGTATATAACACTAACTAGACCAAGTGCAGACTTCAAAATACTAAAATAATTTAATTTTGTACAGATCCATTAGGCTATTTACAATATACATTCACTTTTTTTTGCCATTTTCTTAAACTTGATCGGCTTTAATTTTACATTTGGCTTGAGAACGCATTTTGGCTTTAAAGTTACACAGCGCACCTTTCGGCTTTCACAATTTGGCTTTATTTTTCCTTTTGGCACAATCATTGTTTTTGGCCTCTTTGAAAACCCATTTTGGCTTTGCAGTTTCACTGCACGTTTTTTCGGCTTTCACAATTTTGGTTTGGGCTTTTTCTTCTTTTGGCTATAATCAATTTTTAACCTCTTTGTAACCCCACAAATAAATATGTGTACTATTTGTTTGGAAATTACATATTAATACAGCTTTTTCAGGCCTGAACATTACGTACTTGCATTTACTCCACATTATTTTATGCTATCTACTAAATTACACCAGTCATTCATTTATTCGTTCATTAGAGGGACTTTTCAATAAAAACGGCCGTCACCAGCCAAATTTTCAACATCATACTTGTTTTTCTTTTACTGTTGCTTTATTGTGTGAATGAGGAGACATAAAGGAAAGTTCTCCCCCTACATCTGTTTGTTCAGTTTTCAGTACACAAGTTTGATACAAAGGGGAGCCAACTTTAGATTTCAATATGAATTAAAAAAAAAAAGTATCCATTAGCGATTTAGAACTCCACTTATCGCGTTGTACTTGTTCGTTCCACTGTTTCTGGTTATTAAAACTGGTGTTCAATAAAAGAAAATTATAGTCTAAAAACACAGTGCCTAATCCCTGAAGCATTTTATTTCACCTAGAACTCGCTAGAAAAATCGCATTACTGGGCTGGGCCTTAAATGGGAGGGGCATATTTATTTATTTATTTTTTAGTGGAGAGGGTTAGGTGGATCTTAATGAAAAGTTAACCTTTTCCTTTTTTCCCCAGTTTATCATAAGTCTTTTTTTATCATCAGGGAGCACCCAGGCAATAACAACAAAAAATAACAACAGGCAGTTGTCCTAGAAATGGGAGTTCGAGGTCCCATATGATAAGTACAGGTTAGGGTAAGTATTGGGGTTTGTATATGAGACGAATGTCACCTGTACAAAGTAATGGGGAACAAAGTACAGTTACTTTAATTCTGGCATTTTGTTTTGGGGTTGTATTTGTTTCCAACGTCTCATATATGTTGTGTAAAATTACTGAAAATGTTAATTTAAAACATTCATGTGTCCGAGGCATATGAGGTCTACTAATTAATTTTTTTTTTGGG